TTTAGGGTTTAGGGTTTAGGGTTTAGGGTTTAGCGTTTCATTTTTCGGAGTGTGGCTTCGCTTTCAAGATGCTTGAGTGTAAGAGCACGTACCAGGATTGTGGTGCTGTGCTAGGTACTGTATACTCGTACGGTTTACGGTGTAGGGCTTCGCGGGTCCGAAACCCTAAACACTAAACCCGAAACCCTAAACCCTAAACCCTGCACCCTGAACCCTAAACCCTTAACCCCTAGCGCTCAGGGTTGAGTACCTGATGGCACAAGGTACGTCTCTCAGCTCCATTCCGAGCACTGGGAGGGCATCGGCTGGGTGATGCTCAACAGCGTGGTAGCTGTGTGCGATCGCTTGCTGCAGAGGCTGCTCTTGTCCAAGGACCCAAAGGTTTAGGGTTTAGGGTTTAGGGTTTAGGGTTTAGGGTTAGGGTTTAGGGTTTGGGGTTTGGGGTTTGGGGTTTAGGGTTTAGGGCGAGCTTATCCGGAGCCCAGTATTCAAAGGGTTTCGGGTTTAGGGCTTAGGCTTCAGCGAACAACGACAAAACGGCGAACCTGGGCCTCACCACATGCCTGTTTCATTCACGGGGTTTTTTGTGCGACACAAGCACAAGCACTGGATGCATGTGCTTTGGGATATTCCTCCTTATAGGGTTTAGGGTTTAGGGCTTAGGGTTTCTAAGAGTCCATAATAGGGATCATAATAGGCGGTACTATAATCCTTATTAAGGGCTGTTAGCACCAGGGGGAACATCCCAACATATGCTGTCCACAGGACCAACACCCAGTAGACATCTCGAAGACTGGCATCACGGTGATCAACAAGGTCCGCCTTGTTGCCTTTTCGTTCTTTTTTTAGTGGCTGATAAGGCCTTCTCCGGCCTGCTGGAGAGGGGGTTTGCCTGGGACCCTCTGTACCTAGAGTTTTATGGCTTCTACCTACTCGTTATAAGGTGTAGTTACTAAATAGGGTTCTACCTACTCGTTATAAGGTGTAGTTACTAAATAGAGTCCCAGAGGTAAGAACAAGTCTCTCCGGCAGCAAGGATGGGCTTGATCCCCGTGGGACTGGCAGCCTACCTCACGGGAGAGATGCTTACTTCGCCTTTAGTTGAACTTTAAACTTTTTGGGTTTCCTTATTTAGTAGGAATATTAAAGTTTAACCTTTTTTCCCCGTTGGTTATTGGAGAAGTAAGGATGTCCCAGCTCCCGGGGGCCTATGCCCACCTCACAAGCCTGGACAAGGCTGGTTGCGGGTTGCGGGGTGGTTGAAAGGGGGCGCGGTGTCTTCCCCAACTCCGGCCAGCCTGCAAGGCCTAAAACCCTAACCCTAAACACTGAGTCTGCCGGGTGGTTTTGACGTTTCAAGAACATGGCTGGCTAGCGTGCAGAATCTGAAGGACTTGGGGGCCCCCTTCCTCGGGCCACATGCCCAAGCGAAAGAGGGTTCAGGGTGTTTAAGGTTTGGGTTTTAGAAAGAAGGGTCATAACGCGCCATAGCGACTGGGACCATAGTACCGCGAGCTGACCACGAAACATAGTTCAAGCCTACTACAACCTTCTTATACAGACGCGTCGGCCGTTTGCTCTTTTTCGCCCCCACAAGAAGCAAAGCACAATAACGCAAACGCACCATTGAGTAACTATCTTGCGTTAACCTCTGAGCAAACATCACATGTTGCAGTTGAAGCAAACCATGCTAGAGCGCCGAGAGCGCTTTGGGCCCCTTCTTCGTTGAAACCCTAAACCCATAAACCCATAAACCCATAGACCCATAAACCCATAAACCCATAAACCCATAAACCCTTAAACCCATAAACCCATAAACCCCTAAACCCTAAACCCTAAACCCCACCCCCAAACCCCCAATGTTCGACCTAGCCTTTGCAAGGCCTACCTCCTTTTGCAAGCCTGTCAGGAGAAAACTCTTAGCTCACAGCCTTACAAGGCCCGTTTAAACTTAGCTTTCAAGATCCACATCGGCCTCAGCTGTCCCTAAGCCCTAAACCCTAAACCCTAAACCCTAAGCCCTAAGCCCTAAACCCTAAACCCTAAACCCTAGCACGAAGGTCTACATCGGCCTGAGCTGTGTGATCGGCCTGTCCATCGGCTTTACGGGAATCTGGGCCCAAAGCCTGATTAGCGCCACGAGCTTTTTGGTCGCGCCGGCTCGTTTGTACATATAATATATATATATATGGTACCCCCCCCCCAGTGACCTACCCTTTTTCGCCTTGTCTCAAGTCACCCAGCTGCACTGCAAGCAAACTCGGTGTGCAATATAGCGTATTTGCTAGGGCGTAGACTAAAATGCAACTAAAATCGCATACACGGGGCAGTAGAAAAACCAAAAATACCAAAACCAAAAAAACCAAAAAACCAAAACCAAAAAAAAACAAAAACCAAAACCAAAAAAACCAAAAAAACCAAAACCAAAAAAAACAAAAATACCAAAAAAACCAATTTTCCGGGACTCTCAGGACATCCCTATGAGGCTTCTCCAAGAGTCCCGGAAAATTGGTGTTTTTGGTATTTTTGGTTTTTTTGGTTTTGTTTTTTTTGGTTTTTTTGGTTTTGGTATTTTTGGTTTTTTGGTTTTGGTATTTTGCTTTTTAGTTCGCCTTCACGGTCACGAGGCAACAACTACGCATGTTTAAGTGTGCTTATGCTAATTGTGCTTTACAGAAATAGTATACAAGTGGTCTTTCTAGTGCTTCAGAACTATTTGTTTCGTTATTATGTAAGTAGAGCCGCTAGTGTTTAGTGCATCTTTTGGTTGTACTCAAGTGTAGTAGGCCTTATTCAGCCATTACTTGGTGCTCTGGTAGCTCAATTCGCATGGATAATATTTGCCTGGTAAATGCGATTAATTATCTAGAAGCAGCATTTGCAATACTTGTCTTGAGAAAAAGCATTTATTGCTTAGAATTGTTTGCTTAAAAAGTGACTCCTACTCGTCCAGGAATACCCCAAAACCCTATAATCCAAACTTTACCAGAGATTCTCCTGAAAAGCTTGCGCTTTTGGATGTTTTTATGTATTTGTGAACTTGCTTGTGTATGGCCTTCACTAAGTACTTTTCTAGGATTCTTGTGCATTTTTTAAGCCTGATTGTGCAAGTTGCGTTTTTCAAGCATAGTATATATGTGGTCGTTATTGAATACTTCAGACATCTTTGTTTCATCGTTATGTAAGTAGAACCGCTTCTATTTCCATTATTGTGCATCTTTAAGCTTGCTCATGCAAATTGTGCTTTCAGACATAGTATATAAGTGGTCTTTAGTGAATACTTCAGCAATCTTTGTCTCATTGTTATGTAGGTAGAACCGTTTCCATTTCCGCAAGTATTTATTTCGTATTTGGTTGAGTATGGTCCTTTAAATAGTATTCACTTGAGTCAAATTGGGCTATTTGCTTAAGAATTCCTCTAGTAGTTAAATTCGCATAGAATGAATACTTCAAAAAAAATATTTCATGAATATGTAAACATAAGGTGTTTCATTTGACTTTGCAGATAGTACTTCTATAATACTTTGCCTGGTATAAACACAACTGTTTCAATGCATTAGTTGCTCAACAAAGCACTATTTGCCCTTTAAACCACACTTTGCCATATTTTGGTTGAATATGGTGCTTCTTTCGTATTTTGGTTGAGTATGGTCCTTTAAATGGTATTCACTTGAGTCAAAATTGGGCTATTTGCTTAATAATTACTCTAGTAGCTAAATTCGCATAAAATGATTATTTCAAAAAGAAAAACGATTCATGAATATGTAAACATAAGGTATTTCAGTGGACTTTTCAGAGAGCATACTTTGCCTAGTACAAACACAATTGTATAAAAACAGTATTTGCACTTTAAACGCACACGTTGCCATTTTTTGGTTGAAAATGGTGTTTATTTCGTATCTTGGTTGAGTATGCTCCTTTAAATAGTATTCACTTGAGTCAAATTGGGCTCTTTGCTTAATAATTACTCTAGTAGCTAAATTCGCATAGAACCAAGAAAAATGTTTCACTATTTGATTAATACTTTGCCTCGTACAAACACAATTGTATAAATAAATTAGTTGCTCAACAAAACATTAATTGCCCTTGAAACGCACAATTTGCATAGAAAAAACACTGATCTAAACATCCAAAAACAGCATTGTCCGCTTCAGATTCAAAATGTAGATTCTTCCAATGCTAGCTTATCGGGGTCTGTGAGGTGGGTGTCCCAGTAACTGTCCTTCATTACCCGGTGATTAACTACGCGACTTTTGGGCCTTCTTTGTTGTTTTTTGTTAAAAAGGCCTAAAAAGGCCTAAAAAGGGTGGGTCGCTGGGGGGGGTAGCATATATATATATATATATATACGTGTATATATATATATATATGTGTATATATGTACGTATATATCTGTATATATATATATATATTTTTTTTTTGATATTGGGGGGGGGAGGAGTTTCTGCTTGAATTGAAGTTTTTGGTGTGATTTTGGGGTGGGCTTTCCGGTTTGTAGTTTGTGTTAAAGTTTTGAAGGTCTCTAGGGTTCGGGGGTGCTAGTAGCATTTTTTGACCCTTCGCCCTAAACCCTAAACCCTAAACCTTAAACTCTAACTTCAAGGGTTTTTATAGGGTTTGCTGGGTCGGGCCTAGAAATTCCGACTCAAGAAAATTTCATGAACATCAGAAGGCCCAAGCTTCGGGCCCTTAGAATTATATGGGTGTGGGCTACGTAGGGTGTACGGTTTAGGGTTTAGGGCTTAGGTTGAGGGTTCTATACTCTCTTACATCCCCCCTGGACAGTTCTGAACAATGAAAGGCCCAAACACCACACTGGCTGTACAGATGCCCTACCCAAGGTGGACTGAATTCGCAAACCCTGACCTAACCCTCATCTCTAGTTCGGTCTAGTCTGTGTGACTTGTAGGGTCTGGGCAGTTGTCTTTTCCCTGGGTCTCCACGCTCCAAGTATACAAACAATACCTACATTGGGGTCTAAAGTCTGTAAATAGTGCCTACTTTGGGCTAATTGGAGCCTTAGGGTTTGGCCTGGGTTAAGGGGAGGGTGGGGAACGTGAACGAGATCGTTCTTTAAGCCGCATGTTTCCTGGAAGCACTTTGCCTGTTGAACACGTGTCGTCACCCTACAGCGCGTACTCTGTCACCGAGGTGTGGGTGGCACAAGCAAGTTCTAAGCCCAAGCTCTTTAAACACTAAACCCTAAACTCTAAGCCTCAGCCGGGTGGGTGGTGTCCTGACGCGATGGGGGGGGGAGGGGGGGAATTTGAGCCATTCCAAGTCTATGTGACCTCAATTGGTTCATTTGGTCCCCAAGGATGTAACCCAAACCCCCCCCCCCCCCCCCCCCCCCCGCGCATGTCCCCTGCATACCCCTGCTGAGGAACTCGATTGGGCAACGAAATTCAACAGCCTCCCTACTGTACTGAGAAGCCGCTAAGAAAACCTTAGCGAAAACCTTAGCCCGATAATGGGCCTGGGGCCTATAAACTTGATCAACCCCGCAAAAGGATTTAAAATAACCGAAAACCACCACCAAAATCTGTGAGACCCGACAAACGCTATGTCTTGACACCTCAAAAAATCTGCAAGCCCCCCCCCCCCCCCCCAACCAAAAAAAAAGAACCCTAAACCCCAGACCCTAAACCCTAAACCCCCCTAAACCCCCAGCCCTATACCTGCAGGTCATGGTCAATGCAAACAAGTTCGTCATCATCGGCATCGAGGCCCTCGGCATGCACACCAAGGTGGGCTCGCAGCACAAAGATAGGGTTTAGGGTTTAGGGTTTAGGGTTTAGAGTTTAGGCATGTTGGGGGAGGGTTAGGCTTCAGGGGATAGGCTCCAGCGGTTCAGGGTTTAGAGGGTGTATAGGGAGCTTAGGGAGTGGGCTGAGGGGTTTTGGTCTAGAGCATGGCTCTGTAGACCCTAAACCCTAAACCCTAAACCCCGAACCCTAAACCTGTAAGGGGAACCTAAGCTTGAGCTCCCAGAGCCGCCTGTAACTACAGTGCTCCGCGGGGGTCCCTTTTCCTAACCTCCTGTCAACATGGCCCTAAGCCGCTCTAAGACACTAAGCCCTAAACCCTATACCCTGTACCCGAAACCCTAAACCCTAAACCCTAAACCCTAAACCCTAAACCCTAAACCCTAAACCCTAAACCGCACCCTAGGTGCTGACCCACGGCCAGATTTTGGGTGCCTGTTTGTCCATCTTGGGTGGGATCCTCTACGGCAAAGCCCGCCAGCAGATTGAGCAGGAGGAGGAGGAATCTCGGAAGTGTCAGGGTTTGGGGTTTAGGGCTTAGGGCTAGGGTTTTGGGGTTTAGGGTTGCAGAGCGCGGGTTCAATTTTGTTGTTGGGCTAGGGCGTCCAGCCATGAGACCAGTTGCAAAGGAATGGTTTCGGATTTTGGGGTTAGAGGTTTCGGTTTTGAGGTTGAGGGCCCCATGTTTAGGCACCACCTGGTGCATGAAGCTGGCAACTAAGGAGAGAAGACAGCTGCTGCCCAGTGTGAAGGCTGTTTAGAGGCGGCAGGAGACAGCCAATCATTTTTGTCCCAGCTGAAGAGCTTCCCGCAGCAGGGAAAAGTGCACGTTAAATTTCCCGCCCTAAGGGCGGGCCCACGTGCTTATGTGCTCAGAGGCTCCAGATGTATCATGGGTTCCCAACAACCCCCCCCCTCTCTATTCTACCCTTCCTAGGTTCCCCCCATAATTTGGGGTAGTACAGAGGGGGAGTAGTAGGGGAACCCATGAATTTATGACGGCTACTCTTTAGTTAGAGGGCATCGAAGTTCTTGTGTCTCGACAGCGCGGCATGAAAAAAAAAAAACGCCCTGGCCCCCCTAAGCCCGGAGGGTTTAATTAGGGTTCAGGGTTTAGGGTTTAGGGTTCAGGGCTTAGGGTTTAGGGTTGAGGGCTTAGGGTTTAGGGCTTAGGGTTTAGGGCTTAGGGTTTAGGGTTTCCCTTTTTAAAGTCAAGCTTGCTGGGCTAGTAAGGACACTGTGACTGTTTGGGGTGCGCGGTGGGATCCGCTGTTAAGTCAAATCGTCCGTGTGCGATAAGAAAATTTCGTGCGGTGCGCCTTTCAAATCAATTGCCGTTGCCAATCCTCCCTGTCAAAATCATATGAAACCCGTGGAGCGTTTAAAGGCCTCGACTGTTCTTGGGGGGGGGGTTTGTAGTTCTAGTTCTACTAGTGGCCCCCGAAAGAACACCGCATGTAAACACTTATTATAGCTCTCGCTCTCTCTCTCTCTCTCTCTCTAGAAAAAAATATAGAAACATATATACATACACGCGCGCCAAGAACTGCCAATTGAACCTGTTTGATTTCCGGCTGTGACACAAACTCTGTAGGTACAGTCAAGCCTCGAGTCTGTCGGCTTCTTCCTGCAGAGCTTGAGACCTTACATGTCTAAACCCTAAACCCTAAACCCTACACCCTACACCCTAAACCCTAAACCCTAAACCCTAAACCCTTTCTTTGGAGGTCAGATGGGAAGGCCCTCTCTACTCGAAGCCCCACCTCCCGAAGCTTTCGTCAGGGAGTGTCTGAGAATCACAGATGATGACTATCGAAGGAGCCCAAAAGAAGAAGCAAGTTGCAGAACATGCGCAATGTATGAACTTCCGGTATTCCGAAGTCAGAAGGGTGTTATCAATACATTCTCTATTTCGTGCATGTACTATCTATGTACTAAAAATCGTATACATTCGGGCCTTTTTTCGACTAATCCCAAAACCCTAAACCCTAAACCCAAAACCCTCAACCCTAAGCCCTAAGCCCCAAGCCCTAAGCCCTAAGCCCTAAACCCTAAACCCTAATCCCTAAAAAAAAAAAACAACAACAAAACCCTAACCCTAAACCCTACCCTACGCCCACATCATTTGCAGCGGTCAAGGCGCCCAAATCGGCGAGCGGGTGGCCGAGGAGGGAAGCATGACGGGCTCTGTCGGAACCTCGACTCCTTTGCTACTTGCTTAAGAACCCCCCCCCCCCAAAAAAAAAAATATATATATATATATATGTATATATATATATATGTTTTCCTTATTAAGGGTAGTATAGGGGGTTGTTAATTTTTCATTCTCTTAGGGGTTCTTAAGCAAATAGTATGGCCCTCGCAGAAGTAAAACAAACGCCCCAGCGCTGAGCGCATCGCGTTCTACGCCTAGCGCGCTTGTCAGTTGCTTACCTGGCAAACCCTAAACCCTAAACCCTAAACCCTAAACCCTAAACCCTAAACCCTAAACCCTAAACCCCTGGACTATTCATGTCTCGGCTGCCATGTGCGAGTGTGAGCGATTGAGCCCTAAACCCACTCCAGCCCGAACTCCCCGGCGAGTTGGGTCACTCGAGGTGTCTTTCCTCAAGTGGCTTCCTGCCTTCTGTCGCAGCCGGGTGACCCGCCTTACTGGAGGGCAAATCTGAAAGGAAATTTAGGGTTCAGGGTGTGGGCGTTCTCTGAATTAGGCCCCGCTTGGGGGTCCTTTTTTCAGGCTGGGCCGTGCTATGTCTTGGAACCGCCAAAAAGGCCCAGAGAGCTACCCGAAATCGGATTTTCCTTGGTGAGCCCAGTGACGGAAGCTCTCAGGATGGGTGTCCCAGCAAGGTGCATTCCCTCTTAGCTCCTCCGAACCCGGATTGCGTTTTGACTGCTCCACTTTGGGAGACCTCCACCCAGACACGAACCAAACCCCAAACCCCGAACCCCAAACCCCAAACCCTAAACCCTAAAGCAGAGTCTACGATGTCACCAAAGAGGAGGCTCTTTAGGGCACCCTAAACCCTAAACCCTAAACCCTAATCCCTAAACCTTAAACCCTAAACCCTAAACCCTAAACCCTAAACCCTAAAACCCTCAAACCCTCAAACCCTAAACCCTAAACCCTAAACCTAAACCCTACACCCTAAACCCCTACACAAACATGGCGAGTCTCCTGAAAAGTGGCCGTGCAGCTGCAGAGTGCTTGCACGAACCCTCCCCGCCAGCTCCGACAAGCCACCCGAGGAACAGCGCGATGTTCATCATAGCCTTCAGGAGCTGCTCCCGAAAGGGGGTTTAGGGTTTAGGGTTTAGGGTTTAGGGTTTAGGGTTTAGGGTTTAGGGTTTAGGGTTTAGGGTTTAGGGTTTAGGGTTTAGGGTTTAGGGCATCTCATCGAAGCACATGCCACAAAGCGCACACGTTAAGGACGAACTTCCCATAGACCCTTGAGCGCAAGCCCTCAACAGCTGCACCTGTGGTGTGAGGCAGCGAATGGCAGAGAGCCCATGCCTTAGCCCAACAAATGCCTCCCGAAACCCTAAACCCTGAAAAAGGGCTTGCCGAGGGTTTAGAGTTCAGGGTAAGTGTAGGGTTTAGGGTTTAGGGTTTAGGGTTTAGGGTTTAGGGTTTAGGGTTTAGGGTTTAGGGTTTAGGGTTTACGGTGCATTCCTCGAGCGCCAGTACGAAGCACCAGGAGAGCGATGGCTGCACGTTGTGGAAGCTCATCAACAAGGCCTTGGGAGTACCCTCAGGTTTGAGCCTCCTATGCTAGGGTTTAGGGTTTAGGGTTTAGGGTTTAGGGTTTAGGGTTTAGGGTTTAGGGTTTAGGGTTTAGGGTTTAGGGTTTAGGGTTTAGGGTTTAGGGTTTAGGGTTTAGGGGTTTAGGTTTCAGGATTTGGGGTGTTTAGGGTTTTGGGTTGCCATGTTTCAGGATTTGGGGTGTTTAGGGTTTTGGGTTGCCATGATTTCCCAGGCTGGGTCTAGAATGGTTTTGCGGGAAGTCCTGACGATGGCTGGCCCGTCTGTTTTTTGTGTTGCAGTAAGAGCGCTTGTGGAGGATCAGCCTCTGAGGTTTGGACTGCAAGGTGTATACCCTAAACCGTAAGCCCCTAAACTTGCCCTAATCCCGCTTAAATCCACAACCCTGAATCCAGACCCTAAGACCCAAGCCTTAAGCCCTGAGCCCTGGGCCCTAAGCCCCTGTCAACCCCATTCCCTCGTGACAGGCCTTCTTTGCTTCTGCATGTCAGGCTCCGTAAGTTATGGAATGAGGTAAGGGTTGACGGACTCTAAGCCATCAAAAACTGGAGAACTTCAAACCTACCTCTTTTTTTTGCAGGTTGTTACAATAAAGCCCTTGGTCGGAATTCTAGGGAACCTGCTGAAACAGGTAGGGTTCGGATTCTTAAGGTGCACAAAGACTCAGTCCGAAGGGTTTAGGGTTTAGGGTTTGGCGTTTAGGGTTTAGGGTTTAGGGCTTGGACCAACTAAACTTGAGCATTGGGGTCATACACAGTCTACTATCGTAATTCCTTGCCATGTAGATGAACCACCAACCCTTTTCGCGTTCTTTCGGTTTGTATAAGGGCTTAGGTCTTTGTAGGGAGAGGGCTTGGAGTCCTACTGAACCCTAAGGGTCCATGTACCTATATAGTATATATTTGGGCCCTAAAGCTACTATATAGGAACCCCTTTAAGGCCCAAGTATGTACTATATAGGTACATGGACCCTTAGGGGAATTACCGCGTTTCTACACACCCACAAGGTGCGCGAGCAGCGTGAAGCTGGCGTGCCAGCGGAGACAGCGCCCTGCAATGCCAAGGCTCGACCAAGGCGGTGTCAGTTAAGAGGGTTTTGGGTTGAAGGCTCTCCCTTCAACGCCCGAAAACTGCTATTTTGTGGACAGGCTAAGGTTGTTGAACGGATTTCTCGAAATATCCAACGAACTACAACAAAGGTAGGGGTTCGCAGGGTCACGTTTAAGGGTAGTGCATGCAGGGTTTCGGGTTCAGGGCTTAGGCTGTAGGGTTTAGGCCCTTAGGCTTTAGGGTGTAGGGGAAGACAAAATGGAGCTTCAGGGTGGACAGGTTTATGGTTTAGGGAAACCCCCACTCAGCATGTCGACTAGGGAGGATGACACCGGTAGCCCACACATGTTTAGAACTTTGGGTGGTTTACCGTCTGTATGCTTATCTACGATTTGCTTAAGAACCTCCCTTAAAAACACGAGGCAAGAATCCCTACATTGCCCTTATGAGGAAGACTATCTACATTTTCGTGGGGTTCTCCAGCTATTGCATCACCCTCCCAGCAGGAAGTGCAACTTCCGGGGGCTGAAAGGGTTTAGGGTTTAGGGTGTAGGGTTTAGGGTTTAGGGTGTAGAGTTTAGGGTTTAGGGTTTAGGGTTTGGGGTTTAGGGTTTAGGTGCAAAAGGGTTTGTTGAGGATCTAAGGTCATCAGGAGGTCTTTATGACCCACCCGTGCCAATCATCCCCCCCAGAGTGGCTTTGTTGAGGCTTTACCCAAAAGCTCCTATGCAGCACCTTTTTTGGGGGTGCCAGAATCCCCTGTAGCTAACCCAAAAGGGAAGTATACTAGAATCCCCTATAGCTAACCCCAAAAAGGAGCTACATAGGATGGAGCCTTTGGGTAGGGCTTAAGGTGAGAGCTCACTGGCTCGTTGAGGTTTTTAGGGGGATACGGAATTGCTGAGTGTTCAGGGTTCATTTCGCGACTCAGACTGAAAAAAACACACACACACACACACACACACATACGCGCGCGCACACAAACACACTCACAAAACACAAAAGCAAGAACTCACTCACTCACTCACTCCCTCGTTCGCTCGCTCGCTCACTCACTCACTCATCCACACACACACAAAGCAAAAACTGACCCATCAGGGTACTAAAGCCAGAGCCCTAAACCCCTGTACCCTAAACCCTAAATAGTCACGATTCCGGGTGCGTTTCCCGCAACTTCGCCCGGCTGTTCCGGGCATGCCAGGTGGGACACCTCACCGCCCTGCTCCCAGGAAGCTCATGATGAATTCCTCCAGCCCTAAACCAAAAAAACGCTTAAGTCACCAAAGGATTAAGTTTAGGGCCTAGGGTGTTGAGCTTGGGGCTTAGGGTTCCAGGGCTATCTGCCCTTGGGATAAAGGAGGCATGAGGTAAGACTAAGAACCGCAAAAAAAGGGTGCACGGCCCCTCAACCCCACACGAACCCGCTTGAGCCAGCTCCCAAAGGATCCCTGCACCCGAAACCCTAAACCCTAAACCCTACACATATAACCCTAAACCCTAAACCCTACACCCGAAACCTCCTGGACTCGGCTCAGTGTTCTCAGCCCTAAACCTTACGCCTCACTTCGTCAACCCTCAACCCTAATCCCTAAATCTTAACAAAGCTTACTGTAGCAACTGTGGCAAGCCCTAAACCCTGTAAAGCCCCTACTTAAGCTGAAGTGCACCCCAATTCCCTGAGCCTTAAACACCCGGGTAGCACAACACAAGCCCTCTCAGCAAAACAAAAGCGCAGCTCCACTCTGAACCCTAAACCCTTGCCTCCTGCGACCCGACACCTTTAGACCCTACAACCCTACAACCTTAAGCAGAGGCTAAACCTGAAGTCTTAAACCTTAAACCTTAAAGCCCTAAACTCCTAAACTTACCCTAAAGCCTAAACCCTAAACCCTAAACCCTAAACCCTAAACCTTAAACCCTACGAGGGCCCCTGAGGATGCCCCAAATCAGCGTGGAAAGCTCCCCGCAGCTCCTTGTGGCGGCGACCCCCCAGGTCAGTGAAGGCTTAAGCCCTGCAGAGGCTGCCGAAACCCGCGAGGCCCGAGGGGTTTAGGGTTTAGGGCTAGGGTTTAGGGTTTAGGGTTTAGGGCTAGGGTTTTGGGGTTTAGGGTTTAGGGCTGCAGGGTTTAGGGTTCAGAGTTCAGGATTTAGGGTTTTGGTGGTTGAGAGATTTTTTTCGATGAAGTGCTTCAGACTCAGGGTTTAGAGTTCAGGATTTAGAGCTTTGGGGTTTAGAGATTGTTGGGATTTCGGGCTCAGGGGTTTAGAGATTTAGGGTTTAGGGAGGGGTGTTTAGTTTGCAGGGTTCAAGCTTTTTTGATGTGGGTTCTTTTCGCCCGAAACCCTTCGCCGTAGGAGTCATAGCAAAGAATATTTGGGGGGGGGGGGGGGGGGGGGGGGGTTGGGGGTTTGGGCTCTTTTTGGTTTGGGGGTCCAGGGTTTGGGGCTGAGGGACGGAGACCTTATATCACCACCCAAAGGACCTAAAGTCTCACAGCCCCCTTGTAAGGGGTACCCTAAACCCTAAACCGTAAACCCTAAACCCTAGACCCTAAACCCTAAACCCTAAACCCTTAACGGTGTTGAGGCCAGGGCGGCTCAGCTCAGAAACCAAGAAGCTGTAAGGAGTAGACTGAGTAGACTGCTGCTAGAAAACCCCCCAAACATGTTGAACCTTACGAAACCCTAAACCCTAAACCCTAAACCCCCAAAACCTTACCAAACCCTTAACCAGAAATTCCTGCGCCGCGCCCTCCTGTGGTCAAGCAGAGCTGATGTCATCCCGAGCCAGAACTCTAGAACTGTCGGGCCAGGGGCACTCATTCACTCATTCACTCACTCACTCATGCACGCACTCCAATCCTTGGGGACGAACTGAACCCAAAAATGGGGGGTCATATACCCCTACCCTTTTGGGGTTCATTTAGTCCCCAAGGATTTGCGGAAGTGCTTGCCCCCTCTCAAGAGTTTCGTGCGAGAGCCAAGCGCATCCAATGCAAGTTGCCGCGCCAGAGTATCTCAGGCGGTTCATGGGTATAGTTGTAGTTCACTGCTATTTGCTCAGGACCCCCTTCCCGCCCCTCCCTCCAAAAAAAGTAAAATAAAAGAAAAAACGCAGATACCAATCCCTATATTACCTCTATAATTAGGAAGAATGCTTTAATTTTTTTCGGTGGTTCATTGAGCAAATAGTAGTTTGCTAGTTGCTGCTAATTTGCCCGTCTGTATACCAACCCATGCACCTTCAAGTAGAGTCGAGGTGTCGCTTCAGACCATGCCAAGCCCGTTCGTCTCTGGCGACATATCCCTAAGCCCTAAACCCTAAGCCCTGAACCCTAAACCCTAAACCCTAATCCCTAAACCCTAGCGACAAAAGAGCCCTAAAGGGCCCCAAACACCCCCCCCCCCCCCCCCACTCTGTCGACACGTCCCAATGTCTGCCCGCGCACCATGATGGCCGCGCAGGGATCCCAGGTGTGCTTTAGTAGGGGATAGGATGAGGGGGATTTTTTGGGGATTTAGACCCTCTGACTAGGGTCCCTAAACCCTAAACCCTAAACCCTAAACCCTAAGAGAGCCAGAACAAGGTTCAGAAGGGGTACCCTTTGAAGGGTCCCCCCTTATCCTACCTAGGATTTTAGGGGCTCCACCTTCGCTCTGAATTGACCCGAAGCCCGAAAGCAAAAGACTCTAAACCCTAAAATTTAAGGCCTAAGGCCTAAACCCTAAACCCTAGGGTTTAGGGTTTAGGGCTTGGGGTTTAGGGTTTAGGGTTAAGGTAGGGCTTAAGGTAGGGCCTAGCGTTTAGGGAACCCTTGAGGTTGAACAATTTTGAATCCAGCCTCGCAGTTGGAGGTCAGCTTCGGCCTAACTTCCGAGCATCCCATGCACACGACCGGGGTGTGGCGCGCTAGGTCGCGGGGCTCTTGAGGTCTTTGGCTGCAGAGCCCCTAAGCTTCTTCGACCCTAAGCTCTAAGCTGTATGGTGTATATAAAGGGTTTGTTATAACAGGGGACCCACTCCTGAAATCCTATAACCCTCAACTCTATAAACTGTATGGTGTATATAAGGGTTTAAATATAACAGGGGACCCAAAATCCTAAACCCTAAACCCTAAACCCTAAACCCTAAACCCTAAACCCTAAACCCTAAACCCTAAACCCTAAAGGGCCCATACTTCGGATGCCTTAGCTGGGACCTGCGCGTTTCTCCGGCTCATTTTGGCGCAGGTTTTGAAACCACTCAGTGTCCCCCCAACCTCCCCTTCAGCCCTTCGGGTTTAGGGTTTAGGGTTTAGGGTTTAGGATTTAGGGTTTAGGGTTTAGGGTTTAGGGTTTAGGGTTCCGTGACAAGCCTCGCACTTCTACAGCAGCCTAGACCAAATAATGTTTAGCCTTGTGGTGACATCAACCAAAAGACATCCTGGCAACAGAAGACCCATGGCTGCCTGGATGCACCCTCTTTACTTAGGGTTTGTGGGTTTAGGGTTTAGGGTTTAGGGTTTAGGGTTTAGGGGTTAAGGGTAGCTAGTACTCAACTGTAGGTAAACAGCGCCCCCCGGTAGACTTACAAAACACATCTAGCTTCGACTTGCCATGATCTCTCCCGCTCGCTCGCGGTTCGGCTGGAAATGCTGCCGCGCTCTTGGAGTTCGAAGGCGCCTCGTCACTCGTAGGAAAGCTGCAAGTGAAACGAGAAAACCTCAGCCTAAAGCCCTAGAGTGAGGCCTCCCCCTGATCATAAGTAGAGATTTCTCAGGGCCTGCTCGTGGAAGATAAGTGCGAAAACTCGGGTGTTCAAGTGCTTTACATGCTTGACATATAGTTAGGGGCAACCCTACAGCTGGTGTTGGCCGATTTTTTCACGACTTCAGAATTTCAAGCTCTTGCGCGGGCTTCGGGTTTTAACGTTTAGGACTTATAAGGCGGAGGGACCCAAGTGGTCCACCAGTCCCCCTGCTTCCTTCGAGGTTCGGTTCCCGATTTCATACACCCGCAGGAAGCACAAGACAGGGTACCCTGCTACTTCTTAAGTCTTAGGCCGCACTGAGACCTACTCCTGCGGCAAGCCCCCTCCCCCCGGTTGTAAGTGGCGTTTTGAGGGCCCTAAGTTGGGTTGGAAGCACCACAAGCTTTTCGGGTTTAGGCTGGGAGACAACATCTGTAATGAGCCCTACTCTTTTGCAGAGCAGCTATTCAAGTTTGGGGGTGCGTTTAAGGGGGAGCCCCGGAACCCTCAACCCTAGACCTAGATCCGCATCGAATGTTTGGAAGCTGCCAAATGAAACCTCACCACCGTTCAGCCACTCGAGCCCACAGCCCAAATGGTGGTTAAACCGAACGAGACAGCTATGGTTTATCCCACTTCTAGCCCGACTTGCATCTGCCCATGAACCTCCTAAGCTTTGCCTAAACTTGAGATACTTGAGAAACCCTAAACCCTAAACCCTAAAAACCCCAAGTGCAAAGAGGAACACCGCCGTCTCCGAGTCGACATTCAGCCTCCTGCAGCAGATACAGAGGACGCCTAAGTGCGTTAATTAATGATGTCACCTAAATCCCTGATTATTCCTGATTAACCTAAACCCTAAACCCTAAACCCTAAACCCTCAACCCTAAACCCTAAACCCTAAACCCTAAAACCCTAAACCCTAAACCCTAAACCCTATAAACCCTAAACCCTAACTGCTAAGTAGTCTGTCTTTATCGTAGATGCAGTGAACTCACAGGTTGGGGCCGCGCTTGTATACCTAAGTATGGAATACTTGGGCCTTAAAGTACCTCCTCTTTAGGGATTTTAGGGCCCAAGTACACAAGAATGAGGTACATTGACCCTTGTGGTAACGAGGGGTCACTACAGCTTTGGGATTTTCATTGCTGATAGGGTTGTCATGAAAGGGGTTTTGGCGATGGAGTTTTCGGATGCGCCCAAACCTCTCTTAGACTCACGTGGTCCTCTAGGAGTCCCAGCCTTTTTTTGCGTTCAACGTGAGAAGATTCTTGGGCGAAGAGGAGGCTTGATTGGGTTCCGACCCCAGCTTCGAAGATGTCAAGACCCGAACCCCTCTTGATCGGGCGTGCTGGGACCAGAACCCTTTTTTGAACCCCGCAGAGGCCCGAAGCCCCCCCCCCCCTTCCCCGAACCGTGCGAACCCGCAAAACCAGGGGTTAGGGTTGAGGGTTGAGGGTTGAGGGTTTAGGACCCGAGCAGGACACACGGCAGCGAGGATCAGGGAACGCTGCAATCGGTGGCCGGCAGCGTGCTGCGCGTCACCCTCCCTGGTCCCGTCTTCGTGGGCCAAGGCACGTCGCCGAGGACGCAGAATGTAGTTGCACTTCGTAAATGGTTAGTAATGGGTTCAGTATATGACCCATGTATATATATATATATATATATGGTAGAATAGAATCTACGTATATACACATTCATTTAGGCATGCTTTGCACAGAAGCACACATCACAAGATGCTCGACTAGCTCATGACAAAAGCCAGTGGCTTCGATGTTCCTGAGCTCTGAAGCCTTACAAACTGCCCGAGCCCGTACTGTTCAGCTGGGGCTGCCCAAATCACGCGCACAATTGTTTGTACCCTCAGAGAGCAGAATAAAACATCTAAAACCCAAAAAGCCTGAACCCTAAAACCCCAAACCCCAAAACCCTAAAACCCCGCCCAAAACCATTAAACCCCAAAACCATAAACCCTAGATCCTAAACCCTACATAGACACTAAGCCCTAAAACTCTCGAAATCAACCCCAAACCCCTAAACCCTAAACCATATCACAACCCTGAGCCCTAAAACTCTCGAAATCCCTACCCTAAACCCTAAACCCTAGATATTTCCTAAGCCCTAAAACTCTCGAACTCCCCACTTCCCAGGCCTGCGGGTTCGGGAGGCTCCCGCAGTGGTTCTGCGCTTCGACCGCGCCGGCGTGGTCGCGGCGCTGTGGCTTGGGACAGCATGTTTGAGGTTTGAGGGGTTTATAGGGTTTAGGGTTTATAGGGTTTATAGGGTTTAGGGTTTGGGGTTTAGGGTTCAGGGTTCAATGTTTAGGGTTCAGGGTTCAGGAGTTGAGGGTTTAGGGTTCAGGGTTCGGGGTTTGGGGCACAGAGGAAGCCTTGAACCCTGCACCCCAAACCCAAATATCACCAAACCCATCTAAAAACTCTATCGTTTTTTCCACCCTACATCCAAAAGCCCCTTGAGCTGCACATCCCTGACACACCTCAGCTTTACCCTCAACCCTAAGCCACACTTGGATCAAGCACTTCACCCTCTCAAGCCCAGCGCCCAGTCGCAGGGGTTTAGGGTTTAGGGTTTAGGGTTCAGGGTTTAGGGTTTAGGGTTGAGGGTTTAGGGTTTAGAGTTTACGGTTTAGGCCCATGCCCCCTCTACCGTATATGGTGGTTTCCGCCAATTGGGGTATCCTATTAGAAGGGAATCTCACTATTTGGGGTCTGTTTAGGGTCCCCTATTTTCGTAAACCTCTATATGGTATAATTAGTAAGTTAGTGAGTTAGTGCAGTCTGGTATAGTAGAGCATTGTGCAGAGTACTCTTTGTAGAATATATTGCCATCAGCTGTTTCGAGTGTTATCTCGTTGTGACTGCGCCACACCTTCAGAATGTCTAGCATTGTGAAGTCCGGCATTCTCCCGCTGCTCCGATGCCTGGACACCCTGGCAGACCGCTGGCAAACGCGTGGTCGCCCTTTTTTGGCCGAAGCTGCTTTGCGTGGAGCCGTGCTGGTCAGGCGCGCAGCGCTGCGCCCCGAGCATCCGGACACACTTGGGGGCCTCAACAAGCTGGCCGCTGCCCTTCAAAGGAGGGGAAGCTTTGCTTCAGCCGAACCTTGCAAATGAAATGAACCCTACAGTTGGGGTCATATACCTTGACTTCTAAAATTCCGGGTTAAGGTATATAAACCAGAAACCCTTCCAGGGTTCATGTAGTCTCCAAGGAAGAGCTACATCGGCAGGTGCTGGGCGTCCGGCAGCGTCTCTTGGGCGCCGACCACCCGCTCACCCTCGCCAGCCTGGACAATCGTGCCAAGGTGCTGCGGATGCTCGGCAGGCATGATGAAGCAGTGAGGCTTCATCGGGAGGCCATGGAAGGTTTGCGGCAAGCACTGGGACCGCAGCACCTGGTCACCCTCTACAGCATGAGCAACCTTGCCACGGCTCTCCACACCCAGGGTCAGGGCCTCGAAGCTTCAGAGATTAGGCTGGTTCAGCAGTGTACTTCCTTTATTGTTTTTTGGGGTTCTGGGTTCTCCTATATCAGGCAAGTGGTCCCCAAGAAGTATGTACTTCTCTCCCTCTGGGGGGGGTCCACTGAAAACCTGAGGAGTTGCATCTTCAGGTTTTACAAGGCCGGCGCCTCATCTTGGGAGCGGACCACCACCTGAGCTTGGCCAGCCTCAGACATCTGGCTGCTGCCCTGGGGAGCGACTGGCAGAGCGACCTGGCACAGAGTTCCTAGGTAGGCCCTTGGGACATTTTTTATGCCTTGCCTTTTGGGGTTTAAGAGGATCATGCTTAGGAATGTATTTCTGAGGGGTTTTAAGGACCATCCCAGGTTCCCAACAGACGAAGAGAGGGCAGCTTCGCGAGGAAGTGGCCGCTGGCTATCGCGACGCCCTGGAAGCCTTGCAAAGCACCATGGGGACGACTTAATGAACCCCAAAAGCACCCTAAGCCCTAAACCCTAAACCCTAAACCCTAAACCCTAAACCCTAAACCCTAAACCCTAAACCCTAAACCCTAAACCCTAAACCCTAAACCCTAAACCCTAAACCCTACATGAGCCCCGACTTTAGGGGTTCCTTTGGTCCCCAAGGCAAGCGGGGGGCCCATCATCCAGACGTGCTCAGATGCCAGGCAGACCTCACGAACTTCTTAGCCGCGGGTTAGAGGTTTAGAGGTTTAGGTTTAGGGTTTAGGGTTTAGGGTTTAGGGTTTAGGGTTTAGGGTTTAGGGGTTTAGGGTTTAGGGTTTAGGGTTTAGGGGCTGAAGAAGGACCGGTGACGTGCAATGCTGCTTAAAAGGCTGCTCCCCAGGGTTTGTGTTCCAACAGCGCCCTACACCCTTGACCATCCCAAGAGCCTGCAACGCAGCGCCGGCCGTGTGCGGTTGTGAGAGAACAAAGTTGACTACAGTCTGAACTCTGAACCCTAAACCGTTCATTAAACCCTACACCCTAAGCCTTAAACTCTGGAATCTAAACTCAAGCCTTTTCTTTCCCTAAGTCTTAAACCTCAAACCCCAAACCCTTAACTCCTTTTCGTTCCCTAAACCTTATACTTAAACCCTAAACTCTACCTTTTCTTTCCCTGCACCCTACCTGAACCTTTACAAGCCCTAAACCCTAAACCCTAAACCCTAAACCCTAAACCCTTTAACCCTAGGCTTGCTTCGGACGCGTCCCCACCTACAGCTGGGGAGGTCGTGGTGTGACATGGCAACAGCTTGGGCTTTGTGGGGTTTAGGGTTTAGGGGTTGAGGGTTTACGGTTTAGAGTTTAGAGGTTTAGGGTTTAGGGTTTGGGTTACAGTGTAGGGTTTGTAGGGTTTGGGGTTAGAGAGAGCGTTCGTGTAGAGGGTTCAGAGGTAAACGGGCACTTTCGGGTTTAGGCACAAGGCGTAGAGGGCCTTTTCAGGTTGTGAAGGTTTGGGAGTATGGGGTTCCATGGGTGAGGCGTGATCTGTTAAGACCGTTTATGCAGGATCCTTCTCGCGGAAGGTGGATCCAAACCTAAACCCTAAACCCTAAACCCTCTGTAGCCCTAGAGTCCCTTTCACTTCCATGATATGACACCTGCTTTTGTTGTTAGGAAGCAGTTTTTGAGGCGGCTCTATATATATATATATATATACCCACATCTACTATACATATGTATATTCTTCTTTATATATTTATATATAATATTATTCTTTATATATGTGTGTGTGTGTGTGAGTGTGTGTGTGTGTGTGAGTGTGTGTGTGTGAGAGAGAGAGAGTGTGTGTGTGTGTGTGTATAGAGCTTTGCCGCCTGAGGCCGGGTCGGTCTCTTGCTCTGCAGAGTCGCCAGTGGGCGGCGGGGGTGACCTACGCGAGCGTGGCCGATCTGTTGACCAGCGAGGGGTCTCCCTCAGAGCGCCTGGGATGCCAGGGTTTTTATAAGGGCTACTTTCCGACTTTCAAAAGGGTCTCTTGAACCCTCTGAATTTTGAGCCGTTTTGTTTAGGGTTTAGGGTTTAGGGTTTAGGGTTTAGGGTTTAGGGTTTAGGGTTTAGGGTTTAGGGTTTAGGGTTTAGGGTTTAGGGTTTAGGGTTTAGGGTTTAGGGTTTACAAGGTCCATATGCTCTTGAAGGGGAGTCCGAGTCGGCTCCCGTGTGTATATGGTCCCAAGTTTCGGCCAATCTGGTTCTCAAGTTTGGTAGCTCAGTGGTACCCATTTCCCCTGTTTTTGGTTCTCTGTCCCCTTATAAAGTAACCAACCCAGAAAAGGGTACCTTTATGATAAGATGGTTTCTGGGCTACCCAGGTTCTCAAAGGGCTTTTGCACTGGAGCTACTCGATCCTTTCACTTTGAGCAGGAGGTTCTTGCTACGAGGGTTTGGTGTCTTAGGGTTTAGGGTTTAGGGTTTAGGGTTTAGGGTTGCTATTGCTCTTAGTGTTGGGGGCTGCCCGTAAAACATCCCTAAACCCTAAGGCCCAGATGCCTTCTATTTACACCTGGGAACCTCGCAAGCACGCACAACCGAACACAAACTGCAGGCCAGCCTAAGCGCGGAAACCCCAAGTATCCAATCGTTCAAAGCCACCAAGCCTAGGACATACAAACCCCAAACCCGAGGAACACCATGAAGCCCGAATTAAACCCTTTATCAACCCTACAGCCCCCTTCTACTAAGCCTTACCTCCCTAAACCACCTTAAACCCTAAACCCTAAACCCTAAACCCTAAACCCTCAACCCTCAACCCTCAACCCTAACCCTAAACCCTAAACCCTAAACCCTAAACCCTAAACCCTAACCCTAAACCCTAAACCCTAAACCCTAAACCCTAAACCCTAAACCCTAAACCCTAAACCCTAAACCCTAAACCCTAACCCTAAACCCTAACTCAAAACGCAAGGAGCCTGCTGAAGCTCCCAGCAAACCCAGCTGTTCCATCTCGGCGGCCAATTCGCCAGCGTCTGGCCAGTGGCCTTGCAGCCGCGGTGCCCTGGTTGAGTTCCTGATGGGTTTAGGGTTTAGGGTTTAGGGTTTAGGGTTTAGGGTTTAGGGCCAGCTTCGAAAGGGTGTAGGGTTTAGGGTTTAGAGTTTAACTGGGACACTATTTACCTGCAGATCACTACCCTTGTTTCGTAGGTAGAACCCATAAAACTGTAGACACAGCTTCCCCTGCCGTGCGTCCGGGAAGTCCGCTAGGCAGCCGGAGAAAACAAAAACAAAATGAAACCGAAACCCTACGAATCCCAAAGCCCGATGAACCCTGAGCCCGACGCCTCTTATGGAGGAGCTTTAAACCCTCAATCCTATATCAACCCCCTAGACGCCCTATACTCCCCATGTGTTAACAGCAGAAACCCATAATCCCTTGTTTAAAGCCCTGCAAACTCATCATCCCCATTTTTGAAACCCTGTAAACAACCCTATAACCCTAAAACCTATATGAACCCCATACTGTAACCCTTAACCCAATAGCCAGCAGTAAACCGTTCTAAAGCCCTTGACAACCCCTCTCACCCTTATAACCCTAAACCCTAAAGCGTACATAAACCCTATAAAGCCCCTAAAACCCCTAAACCCTAAAGCCCATATAAACCCTGTAAAGCCTTTAAAAAACCTCTAAACCGAGGAGCTCGTAACCCTTAAGCATACATGAACCCTAAAGCCCATGTGAACCCTGGAAAGCCCTACAAAAGAAAACCCAAACCCTAAAGCCCTAAACCCTAAAACCCTAAACCCTAAACCTACATCAACCCTATAAAGCCCCTAAACCCTAAACCCTAAGCCCTAAACCCATTCTCAACCCCAGGAGCTCTTGCTGCCCCTGGGCCAGGGCCATCGCGTAGGGCTCGTTGGGCCTCCGGGCACTGGCAAAAGCGCATCCCTGTGACTCGGCTTCACTCCCGACAATCATCCAGGGTTCAGGGTTTAGGGTTGAGGGTTGAGGGTTGAGGGTTTAGGGTTTAAGGCTCGAGGTTTAGGGTTTAGGGTACATATTTCCACACACGCGCACTCACATTCGCACAGACATACTTGTTGATTTATTTGTATACGCTCTAACCTCCCCTCACGTCCCCTACACAAATTCCTATCGAATGTGAACTATATACTGCTTACTACATTTATGACAGCAAGTCTCTTCCGAGCCCAGAAGCAGCAGCCATATCATATCAAAGAGAGGACAGAGACGGAGACGGAGGTGTATACAGACGTATGACTCCACGTGCCAACCCGACTCACCTGAATAACGCCCATCAGCGACACAAGGAGACTCAAAGTGCTAAAACTCATTCCAAACAATATATTAAACTCTAAACTCCTAACTTGAAATCCTAACACCCTAAGCCTTTTTTAAATCCTAAACCCTAAACCCTATAAGCCCCAAGCCTCAAAGCCTCAAAGAACCCATCCCAGGCGCATGCTCGTAGCCTCCCAGCCAGCGGACACAGCCGTCGTTTATGCGGCCGTCCGTTCACCGGAGCGCCTGCGGTCCGAGTTCGAGGCTGCAAGGGTGTCGGGACTGCTTAGGGTTTAGGCGATAAGAGGGGTTACAGGATTTACAGGGTTTATGGGGTTTGTAGGGTTTTGATAGCTTAGGGTTATGAGGATCTACGGGGGTTTGGGCTGTAGTAAGGGAGGTTTGTGAGCTTGCTTGCTGCGACGAGAGGGCGGTTTGGAAGGGGCCTATTTGATGAAGGGGTCTGGAATGGTGTAGAGGGTTTAGAGGGTTCAAGGGTTCAAAGGGCTCCAAGGGTTCCAAGACTTCAACTGGTTCAAAAGGTAACAAAGGGTTCAAAGATTTCAACTGGTTCAAAGGGCTCAACGGGTTCAAAGGGTCCAAAAGGGATTAGGGCTATTAGCATTTACGGGGTTTTGGGCTTTGGGGAGGTCATGGCTTCCGAACCTTCGGTTCAAAGTTGACGGTTTGGGGGGGAGGGGAGTGGGGAGAGGGGTGGGGGGAGGGGTTGGGGGGAGAGGGGAGGGGGCTGGGGAGGGGCGGAAGCGGGGGAAAACCTGATCAAATGCCTTGTATGGAATGAAAATTTGTTGTGCGGCTTCCGTGCAACCCTTCAGTTGCATGAAGTGACCGAGAGCAGTTCGACATCGGGTTACCTTTTTTTGGGGGCTATGTAGCAAATACAAACTTGTAAATAGTATCCGGAAGAAAGGGTAGCTCAATGAAGCTCCTTACCAAGAAGATTTCTATCCTGGTCGAGTATGCATCCGTTCAAGTGGTGTCTATGAGTCTCACCCTAGACCCTACACCCTAAACCCTAAACCCCACGCAGGGGTCTTGGGCGGCTTGGGCTTGACCAAGAAGTTGCCCTAAACCCTAAACCCTAAACCTTCAACCCTAAACCCCTAAACCCTAAACCCCAAACCCTAAACCTTAAACCCTAAACCCCTAAACCCCAAACCCTAAACCCTGAAGCCGGTCATGTTGACCAGGCTCTGGGCTTCAGCGAGCGCAGCGCCCCGGCTGTCGTGCTGTGCGCGGAACCCCGCGCGTCGGCCGCCGAGCGCGGCCTGCCAGAAAACCTTTTAGGGTTTAGGGTTTAGGGCGTTTAGGGTTTAATTAGGGTTTAAGGTTTAGGGTTTAGGGTTTCGTGTTTAGGGTTTAGGGTTTAGTATTCCCTCATGGCCCCTATATATAAGTATACCATGAAACCCAAAAACCCAGACAACACCTATTTTATTCATTCAGGCCCCTATATGAACTAGCGGCCCCCTTTCCATGGTTTGGGTCAATTAGGGCATATTCGGGCTTAGGGTTTCGGATTCAATTTAGGGTTGAGGGTTTAGGGTTCACGTAGGGAATGAGGGCTTAGGGTTTAGTTAACTGGTTTAGGCAAAGGTTTCAAGTAGGGTATAGGACTGAGGGTTTCCAAAAGGTACTCCAAAATGGCCCTGCAGGGCCTGGCAGCCCAAAATTTGCTGCAGCGCGAATCGTTCTGTCTCACTACCTCACGAGCCGTGCTCGATTGCGAGTCCGGCATCTTTCCCTGTTTTGTCTCACGAGGCTACTTCCTGGTGCTTTCCGCCCTCCGCTTGGCCACTAGCCTTCGGAAGTCCCATCAGCATGTGCTGCTGGCGGTGGACGACTGCATGAACTTCGCAGAGGCCGTCTATAGGACAAATCATTGTACTGTACGGTGCATGTTTTTTTGGCCAGATGTGGACAACAAAGCATGAACTAGCAAACTGCGCCCGAGCAGCTTTGAACAGAAACCATGGTTGTGAAAGCTAGCAGGGGCCCGCAACCAGGGGACCGTGAGTCGAAAACTGACCACACACAAGCCCCCCTGTGCTTTGGTCCTTCCTGGGCCATTATACCCTATAACCCCTTAAAAGCCCTTTATAGGGTTAGTTAGGGAATTATAAGGCCTAATAGCCCATGCTGGTGTGAGGCGGCCAACGAGCTGAACGGCGCGCCGCCAGTACCGCCGGCGCAGGCGTCATAAGCTTTCCTATTTAAGTATAACCCCTAAAACTGTAGGTAAAAAGAGGGTCCCAGGTTGTGTTTACGCATGTACCAACATTGACCGTACCATTTGCCTCGAACCAGTGGTTGTGGATTCGCTCCTGCGCAGGTGGGGGGGGGGGGGGCATCTAAATACATTGTGCGCCCTTCACGGATTCTTTTGTTCGTGCATGAATCAGAGCCCTTACATGGGCCTGTGAAAAGATATAGAGGTGCATGCAGCACATCCCCCTCTCCTTCAGTCAGACCTTGGACAACCTAACAGGCCCACCCTATCTCAACATGAGTCTCTGCCTCGTAAAAGTACTCTGGTTTGTTCCGGGTTCTGCTTCATGATCTGATTCCCTTGCTTTCCCCCTAAACCCTAAACCCTAAACCCTGAACCCTAAACCCTAAACCTAAACCCTAAACCTTCATGTGCGCGAGGCTGTGGCGGCCATGCTAGACACCGGGGGCAACTTTGAAGACGAGGGCGCTGAGCATGCCCTGTCAGCGGCCCTGCCTCAATTTGGGGTGAAACGAGTCGGCTACGAGCTTTAGGGTTTAGGGTTTAGGGTTTAGGGTTCGGGTTTATAGGGCTTCTTTGGGGTTTAGCTGCTTCGGTGGTTTTTTCTCCGCGGAAGCTAGAATAAAACAACATCTCCCAGCTGTTTAAACAGCCAGGGGTGTCGATAAGACATTTCATCTTCCAGGCAGAAAAGAAGGCACGAGCCCAAAATCCGATGGACACTGGCAACAAACCATCTCCAACTGATGGAACTGGGGCCGCTGTTGACGTGCATATGTTTTATTGGAGTGCCCCTAGCTGAAGACAACTCGCTCAGATCATCCAGAACTAAAGTGTCTTGACAGCGCAAATGCAAACTTGGACGAAATGCGTTCGCTCGGTTAACCAGTGAGCCATGTGAGGCATCAGTTCTTTTTCCCAAGAGCGGCCCAATAGCTTCATCACGCATACTAACTCTGGTGACGCCTTCCACATCGTTTAGGGTTTAGGGTTTCAGGCTCTTTCCCGGCACGCTCACCCAAGCCTGGATGCAAAAGGCTCAGTTTTTATTTAGAGTGCTGCCCGTCTTGCTTCGCAGTGTGCTTACCCGTCTTTCGTCACGAGGCCTGGTTTAGGGTTTAGGGTTGAGGGTCTTGGCTTTGCGTCCATGCTCCTGTGGCTCATACTAGTTGGCTCTCTGCACATGCCAGTCCTAATCATTCTTGAAGCTGGTCAAAACAACGTGGCCATCTCTGGCAAAGCACATGTGACACCCTTGCTATCCCTGTTCTTCTACCTGGCATGCTTGTGAAGTCAATGCAAAAGCCTGGAGTGTGCTTTCTTACTCTGCTTCCATGTCCCAGTAACCCCAAATCCATTAAACCCCTAAAACCCTAATACCCTAAGACCCTGAACCCCAAAACCCCGAAGACCCCAAGATTCTACAATCCTACATGGCCTAAACCCTAAAACCCGAAGACCCACGCCCGAACTCCACAAACTCAAAGCCCCAAGCCCCCCCTCCCCCGACCCAAGTCACCAAACCGCAACAGCTGCGAACCACGGGAAGCCGCAAAGGGCCTCTGGGATTTAAGGATAAGGGCTTGCTGCCGCTAGGGTCTGAACTACTCCCCTGACAGTACATCAAAATACTAAGTGAAGATCCTCGGACCCCAAACCCAAACCCTAATTAACCCTGAACCCTAAACCCTAAACCCTATAAGCCCTAAACCCTAAACCCTCAGCCCCGAACCCTAAACCCTAAACCCCAAACGCAAGTATTCTGGGGAGAAAGGCTCTGAGCAGCAGGTCGCTATTGCATTGGACTTAGTCCCGGAGGATGAACTGCCGACCACGGCACGCGAGGCCGCCCGGCGAGAGGTTTAGGGTTTAGGGTTTAGGGTTAGTCTTCGGGGTTCAGGGTTTCAGGTTTACAGGGGTTTAGGGTTTAGGGGTTCGGGGTTGAGGGTTTAGGGCGTTCGTAGTTTTAGGGTTTGTAGGTTTAGTGTTTGGGTTTAGACTGTTTATAGGGTTTATAGGGTTTATAGGGTTTATAGGGTTTATAGGGTTTATAAGGTTTATAGGGTTATAGGTACGGAGGAAAGAGGGGTAAAGAGGCTTTAGGGCTTAATGATCGGGAGGGGTTGGGATGCGTCTCCTGGACGAGGCCAGGGGGCTCGCTGCTGTGGAATGTCAGGTTTCGGAACTTTCGGGTTTAGGGTTGAGGGTTTAGGGTTTAGGGTTTAGGGTTTAGGGTTTAGGGTAGTGAGGCTGTGCTGGCAGCAGAGACTGGGAACTTCAGCCGGTCAGGGGTTTAGGGTTTAGGTTAGTGTTGAGGGTTCAGGTTTGCTATAGAAAAGAGAGCAATCATCAAAGCAGTGCTTCGGGTTGCGTCCACCGCCAGGGCCCTTGAGCTGCAAGAGGGGTTTAGGGTTTAGGGGTTCGGGTTACACAACCAGCCTTGGTGGCCCAGACTTCGTTTTGGGTTTAGGCTTTAGGGTTTAGGCTTTAGGGCTTAGGGTTTAGGGTTTAGGGTTTAGGGTTTAGGGTTTAGGGTTTAGGGTGTGCTGGACCCGAAGCCCTCTCCTCGACGGAGGTCTGGAGAGGGGCTGAGCCCTCCTTGGACGTTTGCTTGAACTTCTCAGCGAAGCTGGCGGCGCATGGGGCGCCTCGTCACCCGAGCAGTTCTCTGAAGTTTTATTGTGTTTAGGGTTCAGGGTTTAGGGTTCAGGGTTTAGGGTTTAGGGTTTAGGGTTTAGGGTTTAGGGTTTAGGGTAAAGGGTTTAGGGTTCAGGGTTCAGGGTTCAGGCTCAGGCGCGAAGCAGCGAAGCCGGTTACGCGAAGCGGGTTCCGGGTTCAAGGGCTTTTGGATGTTTTGGAGCCAAGAAGCCAAGAAGCCAAGAAGCCCGAGCCGTTCCGTATACCTTGTGCCGAAACCTCAGTTGCACAGTCGGAATTGTAGCCCTAAACCCTAAACCCTAAACCCTAAACCCTAAACCCTAAATGCCCCTAAGAAGGCAAAACGAAGCCTCAGGTGCTGCCGGCTATCGACCTGGATGTGCTGCTAAGCAGCGCAGGGTATCCGCCCGTGTCCCTGGGACCTCCAGTTTGGCTGTAGGGTTTCGGGTTTAGGGTTTAGGGTTTAGGGTTTAGGGTTTAGGGTTTAGGGTTTAGGGTTTAGGGTTTAGGGTCTGCCTCCTCCGGTTTTTTCCTCATCCTCAACCCCCTCTTTGAAGGAGCCGAACCCTAAACCCCAAACCCTTAACCCTAAACCCTTAGCCCCAAACCCTAAACCCTTAATTAAACGCTTAACCGGCTTAACCCTTAAACCCGAAACCCTAACCCTAAACCCTAAACCAATGCCGCAGTCAAGGTACCAAGCCCCTCTTCTGGGGGCCCTCCGGAAGGAGATCCGCAAGCTGCGACGCGGCGATGTCCGACCCAAAAACCCCAGCTTAGGTTAGGGTTTAGGGTTTAGGGTTTAGGGTTTAGGGTTTAGGTTTTAGGGTTTATAGGCTTTAGGATTAGGGTTTAGGGCTTAGGGTTTTAGTGTTTTTGTTGTTGTCTTACGTACTGAACCCGTCAGCCCTTAAGCTTACTCGAGCCCCATGACCCTCACCATTTTCAACCATTGTAACACCGAGCGCCAGAGTCCTAACTCTCGAAGCCGAACTCTAAACCCCTAAACCCTAAACCCTAAACCCTAAACCCCTAAACCCTAAACCCTAAACCCTAAACCCTAAATCCTAAACCCTAAACCCTAACACAAGCACGATGTCAGACACAAGTAAGGCTGGAGAGGAGCAAACAGCTGAACCAGCGCCTGGCAGCTGGGCCCATGTCATTCCCCTAAACCCTAAACTGGTTCAGGGTTCAGGGTTTAGGGCCTACAAGCATGCCATCTAAAACACCTACGGGGTTAGGGATGGTTGGCAGAGCTCGCGGGGTCAAAAAAGGGATGGTTGGGTTTCGGATGTAGGGTATAGGGTTCAGCGTTTAGGGTTTAGAGAGTTCAGAGCCAATCAGGCGCTGGGTTTTCCAATGGCAACTTTAAGCCCGGGCGGGCGTTGAGACGTTTACGCCTCAATCCGATTCCTCTTTACAGAACCTACCTTAATTTATAGAGGCCTTAAGGGAGGGGGGTGGGGTAGGTACCTAGGGAACCTTAGGGAAGCCTAGGGAGCCTTAGGGAGCCGTCGGGACTATTCCGGAACCTTGTGTTACATACTCCCCCCCCTTGAACTCCCCCTGCCTTGAGAACCCTGCAAGTAAGAAATTCGAAGCTCGGGTGGGTGTAGATTGCTTGCCTTATCTTCCACCCAAGAACCTATCGAACATAGCCATACCATAGACCCTTCATCCTCCCACCCCCTAACCCCCAACCCTAAACCCTGAACCCTAGCCCTAAACCCTAAACCCTAAACCCTAGCCCTGAACCCTGAACCCTAAACCCTCAACCCTAAACCCTAAACCCTTCGTCCTTACAATGAAACATGCCCCCAGGAGACGGGTCGTGAGCTTGGCTTCCATGCCGAGACAGTGCCTGGGCTCTTTTTGTTGGGGTTTAGGGTTTAGGGTTTAGGGGTTTGGGGTTTAGGGTTTAGGGAGGTTTGGTTTATGGTTGAAGGTCTTTGGAGTTCACAAGCAGGGTTAAGGAATTCGGGCTTGATTTTGGGTGGTTCATGGCATCCTTCCCTGGTTGTCGATAAACCACAAACCCCAAACCCCAAACCCCAAACCCCAAACCCCAAACCCCAAACCCCAAACCCCAAACCCTAAACCAAACTCTAAACCCCAAACCCTAAACCATAACCCGGACCCCCCCCCCCCCCTCAACCCAGAACCCCTAATCCTCAACCCCAAAGCCCCAAAACCTCCACCCCTATAGACAGACGCATTTCGAGGCGAACCTGGGCAACGGTTCATCTTACCCTAAACTCAAAGCCCTAAACCGCAAACCCTAAACCCCAAACCTCAAACCCTAAACCCCAAACCCTAAACCCTAAACCCTAAACCCTAAACCCTAAACCCTGAACCCTGAACCCTGAACCCTAAACCCTAAACCCTAAACCCTAAACCCTAAACCCTAAACCCTAACCCGAATTTTCGAGGAGGACCTGGATGCCCTGGGCTCGGATACCGTCGCCCGCGCTCTGCTGTCGCACTCGAAGCCTCGGTCCCTGCGCGAGCTGGCCGCGGCCGGACTGAAAACGCTTGGGGGGGGGGGTCTAGGGTTTAGGGTTTATAGGGTTAAAAACCTTTAGGAGGGTTCAGGGTTTAGGGTTTAAGGTTTAGGGTTTAGGTGTTAAAGTTTAGGGTTTAGGGTTTAGGGCTTAGGGCTTAGGGTTTAGGGTTTAGGGTTTGGGTTGGAACTTTCAGGGTTGCTATAAGCTAGCCCTATAGTTTAGTCATTTTTAGGAAGATTTTGAAGATGGTTCATGGGCCATCCGAGTCAGGGCAGTTACATGGTCCCTTATGGTCCCTTACCTTCGTGAGAAGGGGTTCGGAAGTATGGGCCCCTAAGAGGGTTTCAGGGTTAAGGGGCTATCGGGTTGGCCACAAAAACGACTAGAAGCTGAAAGTTGTTCCAAGAACAGTTCAGCTAGGGCGGAGGGGTTCTAAATTAGGCTCCATTTCTTGGGTCGCCCGTTTGTAAAAATGAGGGATTCCATGTACCAACACAGAACGGGGGATTTGGGCAGGTGGTTCGGAAATGTGCTGTCCAGGGTCGTTTTTCCTTTCTTGTTATGTTTTTCAAATTTTTTCGGGGGTGGAGGACCTCCTTGCAGGGGTGCTCCCTACACTCTGCAGAACCCTAAACCCTAAACCCTAAACCCTACAGACCACGCGAAGTTTGCAAAGGTGTTGGCCTGCGCAAGCGTCGCCTCTTTTCTGCCTTGGGTGCTTGTGGGGTGCAAGGGCTGGCTTGTGACAAGCTGTTGCTTCAGGGTTTGTGGAGTTTATGGGGTTTAAGGGATTCTAGGGTTTCATTCAAGCGTTTCAGAATTCTAGGGTTTATAGGTGTCATAGGGTTTCAGGGTTTAGGGTTTAGGGTGGTTCCATTCCTTTGCAGAACAACCCTAGGGTCTAGGGTTTATATATATATATATAGGGCTCAGGTTTTGGGGGTTCTGGTTGCTAGGGTTTCGGGTTTCGGGTTTTGGGGGTTCTGGTTGCTAGGGTTTCGGGTTTCGGGTTTAGGGAGGTTTATAGGGTTTATAGGGTTGAGAGGTTTTATAGGGCTTTTACAACTTTTAGGGTTTATAGGGTTGACCGGGTCTATAGGGTTTATGGGGTAGAGGGCCCGTGTGGCCTGTCCTGATTCAGGTCTACTACTTCCCGCACCACAGGACACCTCCGCGATCGGCACTCGCCGGTTTTCAGGCTGAAGACGCTCGGCAGATGGCAGTCATTATTCATCCAGGGACTTTCAGGTAACAAAAAGAGGGCTTAACTCCCCCCCCCTCCCCCCAACTCTAAACCCTAAACCCTGGCCCTAAACCCTCAACATCAAAAAAGGCTTGAGCCCCCCTCCCCCCTCCCCCCCCCTCGTCCGGAATCCTCCACAGGAAAGTGGTAGGGCCTTTTTGAACTCACAGGGTGGTGTTTGTAGGGTTCGTAGGGTTTGTAGGGTTTGTAGGGTTCATAGGGTTTACAGGGTTTTGAGGCTTTTTAGGGTTCATAGAGTTTATAGGGTTTGCAGGGCTGTTCGGGTAGGATTTAAATTTAGGGTGTTTCTCGCTTAGGATTTAGGGTCAGTGAGCCTTTCGAGGGCTTTTTTCAGCCTTTAGAACCTCCAGGAAGCCCAGGCGCGACGCGCTCTTTTCTCTTGTGGTGCTTTACTGTAACTTTAGATCCTTAGCCTTTTGGGGGTTTGTTGGGTTTCTGAATAAGGCCGCTGAAAACTCAATTTATAGCTACCCTGCTACGTGCAGCCAAGTCTTGTTCGGGTTCAGGGTTTAGTGTTTAGGGTTTCTACAGGGTGAACCCTAAATCCTAAACCCTAAACCCTAGACCCTAGACCCGAAACCCTAAACCCTAAACCCTAAACCCTAAACCGTAGGGTTTGGGGTTTAGGAGTTTAGGAGTTCAGCGGCTTCGGGTGTAAGAGTTTTCCCCCTTTTTTGTGACAAAGCAGCCCCTTTCCGAGAATCCCTCAGAAGGAGCCCCATGGCTGCCTAAACCCTAAGACCCTTTAAGCCTACAACGCTACAGCCTTAGCGTTACCCTAAAAAACCTAAAGCCCTGCAAACCCTTCAACCCTAACTTGGTAGCCCAGTGGTACCCTTTACCTTTTTTTCTCCCAACCTTAGACCCTAAACCCTTAACCGCACCCCTCCACCCGATGCTGAAAGAGGGCCCGCAACCTGCCCAGGTGCTGGAGTCTATACGCTCTGCCTCTCAGCCGGCATTTGGACTCATGGGTTCAGGGTTTAGGGTTGAGGGTTTAGGGTTTAGGGGTAGACCTTAGGAACCCAACGCTTCTCCCCTTTTGTCTAGGTTACCTAAGCGTCTTATAACGTGGGTGTCTGGTAGCAACTTGTCAACAAAGGGGTAAGGGGTTCTTAAGGGTTTTAGGGACGCCCTATACCCTAAACCCTAAACCCTAAACCTCAAACCCTAAACCCTAAACCCTGATGCATCATCGGACCCGAAGCGTGAGCCGGGCTCAGCAGAGAAAGTCCTCAGCCCTCGAACGCGAGGGTTTAGGGTTTAGGGTCTAGGGTCTAGGGTTTAGGGTTTAGGGTTTAGGGTTCAGGGTTCAGGGTTTAGGGTTTGGGGTTTAGGGTTTAAGACGATCTATTCTCACAGAGAGTCCATGCCTGAAAAGGGTCTGTAGGGTCCTTTAAACCTTTTTGTTGCAAAGGAGTGCCCGGCCATTTGGGACTCCCTTGATCGCCTTGAAGAGCTCAAGGAGGTGAGTGGGTTTGGTGTTTGGGGTTTTGGGTTTAGGGTTTAGGGTTTAGGATTTAGGGTTGAGGGTTTAGGGTTTAGGGTTTCTTTTCGGCCTGTGTGGCTTTTGTGGCAAGGTTTAGGGTTGAAACGGTTGCAGGGGTTTCCGGTTGAAAGGCTTTGGGGTTGAAAGGGTTTGTAGGGCTTAGGGTCGAGAGTCAAGAAGCTATAGTTATTCTAGTCGACGCGCTCGTACTCTTGCACGATGTGCCTGCAGGGTGTGCCGTGTGAATGGAAGGGCTGTGGGTCTGAGCGCGGGTTGCGAAGCATTTGCCTTCGAGTTTATTGACGGGGGCGTAATTGCACGACACGTGTGAGTTTACGAATACAGAGCAAGGAGACCTTATAAACCCCACAAACCCTGTAAACACCATAAACCCACCCTCTAAACCCTTATAAATCCTACAAACCCTATAAGCCCCATAAACCCCAAAAAACCCATAAACCCCATAAACCCCATAAACCCCACAAACCCTACAAACCCTATAAATCCGTAAAACCCTATAAGCCCTATAAACCCCATAAACCCCACAAACCCCACAAACCCGAACCCCGAAAGACATCCACAGCTCTTGGCATGGGCAGCCCAGTTCATGGTCGGAATCCCGCACCTTAACTTTGTGGTACTTTACCGTAACTTTAGATCCTTACCCTTTTTGGGGTTTATATTGAGTTTCTTAATAAGGCAGCTAAAAGTTTAAGTTATGGCTACCCTCCTGAGTGCAGCCAAGTTAAGAGCCCCGAAGTCACTGTCGGCATGTGATGAAGAGAGAGATCCTGATAGAATTCTGTGGTCATGAAGCAACAAGCTGACAAGTCAGGGGATTCGACCTAGGACCCCTAAGGTTGCACCCTTAGGTTTGGGGACCCTTCTTGCCGATCCTCGAAGCATACCTAGGGAACATAGTCGGAGTATAAGAAGGGAACCCCTAAACCCTAACCCCTTCAAGGTACATCCATAGGGGGTTCCGGTCGTGGGCTCTCAAGCTATGGGTGAAACACGATCTACCTCATCATTATATACAAAAGAACCCCGAAACAGGGATATGAAGTGCTTTAAGGCCCAGGCTTTTCCCTATTAAGGCTTGAGGTACATGGACCCTTAGTCTTTAGGGTTGAGGGTTTAGGGTTTAGGGCTTACGGTTTAGGGGTTTGCGGCTTAGGGCTTAGGAGTTTCGGGTTTAAGGTTTAGGGCTTAGGGTTACGGGTTAAGGGTTAGGGTTTCGGGTTTAGGGTTTCGGGTTACACACCCATCCTTGGTGGCCAAGACTTCGGAAGGCAGACGTCGGCCAGCTCCTCCGTGAGTTGGGGGAGCCCTTGCTTGCCAGGCCGGCAGCGACACCCCTGAAGCACGCTAAGGGTTTGGGGTTTAGGGTTTAGGGTTTAGGGTTTAGGGTTTAGGGTTTAGGGTTTAGGGTTTAGGGTTTCGGGCCCAAACCCTAAACCTCAAACCACTGTGAAAACTGCAAACCCTAAACCCTAAACCCTACAAACAAGGGTCTGACTTCCAAGCGGCCTATCCATGCGGTTTACATGGTCTGAGTAGAGAGCTCAAAAGGGATTCGGTGCCTCCTCCCTCTACAATCCTTGCATGTCGGGCCCCTAGCCCCCCTGACTTTGCTACATACTCAGAACCCTAAACCCTAAACCCTAAACCCTAAACCCTAAACCCTAGACCCTAAACCCTAAACCCTAAACCCAGCAAGTATCGGGTAGCTCAAAGGGCCCGCACCTTCTGCGGTGCCTAGGCGCTTCCACTACCAGCTGACGCGCGGCGACATGTGAGAGAGGCTTGTCCTTCCCGGTTCTATATCCCCCCTGGGTTGATGTTTTTATTTATGTTTATATAGAACCCAAGAGGATGTCAATAATACTATGTTTATGGAGGTTCTAAGGGGAGTATAGGGTTAGGATGTAGGATGAAGTTGCTCTGATCTGGTGCTTGACGCACCTTGTCGTGCACATGTGAGGGAGTTTCTGCGTACAGTTCGCACTCGCAGACCCACAGCAGTCGGGCCAGAAAACCGCACAGAAACAGTCCCCTAAACCCTAAACCCGAAACCCTACAGCCGTGATCGTTCGCAGCACCTGCGAGTGAAGCCGAAAGCCCCTTGCGCACGCAACTCCTGTGCAGGGCCTCTGAGCCATCATTTTTGCAAGTGGGAACTGCGGCAGTTTTGAAGAAAAAGGGCTCCTCTCAGGTCTGAGATGGGACAGGTTAGAAACGGTTAGAAGCTCTAAGGGGATGGACCATGGGATGCGAGTCAATCAGAAGACCAAGGCTTACACTAAATGGGAGACCTACCTTACACATACATATAATATATATATATATATATTCATGTATATATATATATATACATATATATGAATATATATATATATATATATATATATATGTATATATGTATAGAGAGAGAGAGAGAGAGAGAGAGAGAGAGAGCTATTTGGGGCGGAGGAGAGGTATCTTGAAATTCTGAACTTTTAAGAGCATCCATGTAGCGCCTGGCTTCAGAGGCCTGGGCCACCCTTAGGAAGGGTCGATTCGATCTGCTTTGAATGTTGGGCTCTATCGGTCCACGTTTCAGGGCGGATGCCTCTATAGGGTTTAGGATTTAAGGTTTATAGGGTTTAGGGATTATTCTAGTGTACTGAGACCAGCTGCGAACACTCGCTACGCAGAAAGTCAAGAGCTCACTCCACAAAAAGAGAACGGTCCGCAGCGCCCCCAGCCTTGGTGCGACCTCAACCCTACACCCTAAACCCTAAACCCTAAACCCTAAACCCTAAACCCTAAACCCTAAACCCTAAACCCTAAACCCTGCGCCCAGGTCACGCTGGTGGTCTTCTGCCTTTTCGCACGAGCTCCTGGCAGCCCAAGGCCGCGGAGTTGATTGAAGAAAGAACCAAAAGGGGTTTAGGGTTTAGGGTTTAGGGTTTAGGGTTTAGGGTTTAGGGTGTTGGGTTTAGGGTTCAGTGTGGCTCACTAGGGATTGTAGTAGTATAAGGTAGATGACCCCAATTTGGGGGATTGTTTCGTAGCCCAGTGGTGCCCTTTGCCTTTTTTTTGGCTCCCGTGATAAACGTAACTAACCCAAGAAAGGATACCCTTCTTGTAATTTTGGTTACTGGGCGACTAAGGAGTTTGTAAACCAGCCTCATCTAGAAACCTGCAAGCGACTAATGTCTCGCGTGCTGCTGCGATAAAATAGTATAGAGTAGATGACCCCATTTCTTCATTTGGCCCCCAAGGAATCCACAGCCCTCCAAAGCACCGAAGGACAGCGTCTATGAAGCATTTGCATCCCAAGCCTCGAAGAACACGAAAAGGGTTCGTGGGATTTGCTTCCGTACACCTGACTTGAGGGTTCAAACAGTGCCCCCAGTGTTTCCTATTCATTATACCCAAAGGTGCCCCCCCCCCCCCCCCCCCCAAGGCGAGGGCCGTTCAGTTTAGGGTTTAGTTGTTCGCTTCAACACGTCGCCCATGTGCTCCCTGCAAGCCCCTAAGCCCCAAACCCCAAACCCTAAGCCCTAAAAACCCTGAACCCTAAAAACCGCAAAAACCCTAAACCCTAAAAACCGCAAAAACCCTAAACCCTAAACCCTAAACCCTAAACCCTAAACCCTCAACCCTCAACCCTCAACCCTCAACCCTCAACCCTAAACCCTAAACCCTAAACCCTAAACCCTAAACCCTAAACCCTAAACCCTAAACCCTAAACCCTAAACCCTAAACCCTAAACCCTTCCCTCAACCCTTTCCTAAAATCGGCCAGGAACTCGCATCCTGCTGGCAACGTGAGAGGGGCCCGAGACGAGCAGTAGGGCGGTGACAGAAAAAGAGTGCCCATCCTAGTTTGCTTTGTGTGTTGCCAAGAAAATGGTCTGGGTTTGGGGTTTGGGGTTTGGGGTTTAGGGCTTCGGGCTCAGGGCTTAGGGTTTAGGGTTTAGGGTTCAGGGTCTAGGTTCAGGGTTGGGTAAAGTTTATAGGGTTTAGGTGTAGCTTTCATGATGTTGAGGGGCCATCTTCAACGGGCCATAGCTGCCAGAGCTTGCAAGGATCAGTGTGGAAAAGTCGCGCAAGGCACCAGGGTCTCGCCCGCATTTGCTCAAGCGATTCAAACCCAAAGCCCTAAACCCTAAATCCTAAATCCTAACCCCAAACCCTAAACCCTTAACCCTAAGTCTGTTTTTCTTCTGTATCGTCATTAAGTTGTGGGGTGTTTCAGAGTTTAGAGTGCCCAAAAATGGGACCCTAAACCCTACAGGCCCTACAACCCAAAACAACCACTCCCCCCCACCCCCGAAAGAAAAACTCGAAACCCCAAACCCCTAACCCCAATCGCTAGACCTCGAGGCTCTTGCACCCTCACCCTCAACCCTCAACCCTCAACCCTGAACCCTGAACCCTGAACCCTGAACCCTAAACTAGACCCTAGACCCTAGACCCTAAACCCTAAACCCGAAACCCTAAACCCTAAACCCTAACCGGCAGCTGCGAGAGCAGGTCATTGGCCGGCTCTCCGCATCGGAGACAGAGATGCTCTTGAGCGCCAGGGGGCCTACTGGGTGGGTTTAGGGCCGAGGGTTCAGGGTTTAGGGTTGATGGTTTAGGGTTTTAGGGTTTAGGGTTTTACCTGCTACTGGGCCGTAGCGGAGCGAGGCTGCTGCAGGTTTCGGGAAAGTGTGGCCTTAGCTCCTTCTCACTCTAGCAGCTGCCCCAGAGGGGTTTAGGGTTTAGGGTTTAGGGTTTAGGGTCTAGGGTGTGTTGCATTGGTGCTGGTGCTGGTCTTCCTGGCAAACTTCCGCCCTTGGGGTAGCAAGGAGGTGATTGGATCTTTGCTGTGACCCTAAACCCTAAACCCTAAACCCTAAACCCTAAACCCTAAACCCTAAACCCTAAACCCTAAACCCTCAGCTGCTGAGAGACCAGGTCTTGGACTACAGGCGAAATACCGCCGCCCAGCCCCTGACCGTCGTGACGGCACCGTGCCATTCTCAAGAGTTCTTAGACAAGTCTCTTCGGCAGTTCGCCTCGCAAACCCTAAGACCCCAAACCCCTGAACCCTTTTTCACAAAACCCTAAGCCCTAGCCCCGATAGATTTCTGCAAGCTCCAGTAGCGATGGAGTATCGGATTGCACTTGCAAGCTGGTCTCCTTGGAGGCAGGAAACGCAGAAAACTTCAAGATTGCAGATCCTCGTGGCCTGGAGTAAGTCTTGCTGGTACCTTGGGGAGATTTTGGGGGGGCCACATGAACACTATAATAGGAGTCACCTAGCCTATACTACGACATAAGACGGTCTGTGAACCATAAACCCCCTAAACCCCAAACCCTTGAGGGTTAAGTTGTTTAGGGTTTAGGGTTTAGGGTTTAGGGTTTAGGCGTTCGTCTTGTGTCATGCACTTCAGGCCCGAGCCTCAGCAGTCCTTTGTTCAGAAAAAAAGGGGTTTAGGCAGAATGGTAGGGTTGAACCTATATATGGCTTTGAACTTAGGAGTTGAGGTCATAAGGTATAACATGGATGACAGCATTGCCCAACACAGAAGTACCCTTGCAAACCCTAAACCCTAAACCCTAAACCCTAGACCCTAAACCCTAAACCCTAAACCCTAAACCCTAAACCCTAAACCCTAAACCCCCTATGTGAATCCCGCCACCTTGTGGTGTTGGTTGGGTCATCGCTCGGAATCAGGTGACCGAGATCCCAGCGAGGCGGGGCTGAACAACTTCAAAGCCTGAAGGGTTCCAGGTTTCAGGGTTTCTGTTTGTTAAGGGCTTCGGGCTTAGGGTTCAGTTCAAGATGTAGGCCGAGACTGTCAGCCTCCTGGCACCCTGCACGGTTGAGTCTAGAGCTCAGGCTTAAAACCCTCGCCAAACCCTAACCCTAAACCCTAAACACTAAGCCCTAAACCCCAAACCCTAAACCCTAAACCAAACCCCAAAACCCTAAACCGAATCGGAAAAGCCCACCGCAGCTGCTCCGAGCCTCAAAGTGCGATGGCGGCCTCTAGCTCGGGTCGGGGGGCGCAGACGGTCTACCGAAACCGCGAGGGCAGCTTGGGCTCAGGGTTTAGGGTTTAGGGTTTAGGGTTTAGGGTTTAGGGTTTAGGGTTTAGGGTTTAGGGTTTAGGGTTTAGGGTTTAGTTTGGTTTTTCGGGTTTTTTCGGGTTTTTAGGGTTTAGGGTTTAGGGTTCAGGGCCTCGGTCCTGGCATGAAGCAGTTTCCAGGTTCAAAAAAGGGGTGTATAGGGCGGAGGGTTCAGGGTTTATGCGTTGAGTGCAAAAAGGGCTAGTCAACAGGGTCTAGGGTTAACCCTAAATCTCAGAGAGCCCGGGTTCAAAAAACGGGTTTAGGGTTAGGGTTTAGGGTTTAGGGTTTAAGGTTTAAGGTTTAGGGTTAAAAGCCCTGCACTCCCGTGCTTTACACAAAGCAGTCAGCAGCGGAAGCCCAATTTTATCTTGTAGGGTTCCAGGCTGCAGGGTTTAGAGGGTTTAGAGGGTTTAGAGGGTTTAGGGCTTAGGGTTCAGGATTGTGGGGGTTTAGGGTCGTCGGGGGTTTGGGGGGGGGGGGGGGGGGGGGGGGGGTTAGGGGTTTGGGTTGAGGGTGAAGGGCATTGGGGCTCTCTGTTTCAGGATGCCAAGCTGCGCCCAAAGCCTTACATGAACCGAGGCAAGCGGATCGAGCGCGAGGAATGGGTGGACCAACAGCAGCAGCTCGAGCTGAGAGCTGTGAGAGTTGTGCTCCTGAACCAAGCTAGGAAAAGTCTAGGTGGGGATGGT